TATATATATATATAATGAATTTATTAATTGGGCTTGTAAGATAAATAAGGGTAATTTTAGAATATAAAGTTAGAACATAAGGTTGAGTGTATTAGATTTGTGAGTTAAGTGAAGGGTTTGGGCTTTAGTGGCCCAACCCAAAGCCTCACTTATTAGAACCAAAAGTGAAAGAGGTTAGGGTCATTTAGTGTAGATTGGGAAATTTGTTTAATTTGTATTATTTAGGAATTGATGTATTTGATGTTGTACAATTGTTTTCTATTGGGTTGTTGTTCGTTCAATTAACCTCTAAGAGTTGACAACCCTTAAGAGCTAAGTTACATAGTTATAATTGAATTCATCCAATCCTTATGAGTTTTTTTTCATCAAATCATCCATCAGAGCTAAGTTTGACAGAGAAGAAAAAAAAGGTATATATAGGATTTTGTAAACTAGAACATCAAAAGTTTCATTTTATAAATGTTCTAAAGTGAAGTAAGGAAAGTGATATGAGACTAAAGAGATCATTTCTTCCTCTGATCCTTTCAAGAGCTTCCATATCCTTCCTTGAAGCTGAGATCAAGCCTTAGAAACAAATTCAACCATTGTGGAGCTCGAATATAGGAAGAGAAAGGGTTTTGCATTCTTCCCTTTTTCTTTTAATTCTAGATTCTAGGAAGCTATTTGGGATAAGGGAAACTTGATTATGGTTTATACGTAATGTATGAACTTTGTTGTTGTTGTTGTTTTAAGTTTGATTGATTATATTTTTTTACTAAATTTAAGTTGTTATCGAATGGGGGTTTTGGGGGAGGGGGGGTGGGGGGGATCTTTGTTGGTTGATTCAGTACCCCCAAAACTTGTTGCATTTGTTCTTTTGATCTAGATTTGATGAATTAACGATGCCAAGATGATGTTTCATGATTTTGATTTTGATTTTGAGCTTGTAGATGAGCATCGGAGTAATTTAGAACCCAAAAATCATGAAAATTTCATATACAATCTATCAAAATTCACTTGGTGAATTATTCATCGTTGGGTGAATTTGGAGATAAGACATAAGGTGTATCTCAAGTGGACATTTGTTGGGAAAATTATTCCATTTTGAGCAAATTCACTACAAGAAAATGATGATTTTGCGACGATTATATGGTCTACATTGCGACGATTAGAACTGTCGCAAAGACAACATTGCGACGGTTTGGGAACCGTCGCAGAATTGTCTGTCACCAGGCAATTTTGCGACGTTTATTAGAACTGTTGCACAAACCGTTGCAAAATTGGAATTGTGACCCCTGAAGCACTCGACGCACTAACTGCCTCTATATTAACATTGCGACCCTTTCATCAATTGTCGTAGCAACTACCTCTAAATTAATATTACGACCCTTTTTTTACCCGTGAAAGTATTATATCGGAGCTATAGTAAGCTACCTATAGACACCCAATTTCGTTCGGGGAACCTAAACCAAGGACAAAGGTCTACTAGAGTGAGACAAACAACCCTTGAGGGGCCCAACGCGTTAGGAAACATTTTTTTATGATAATATCTCTCATTACAAACCTAATTTTGACGATCTGACCGTTGAAATTAAAGATCAATGTATTGAGAAGATATCATCAAAATTTCAGCATGATCCAACGATTAACGAATTCTCTAGAAGCCTCGCACTGCAGTTGGAAAAAGTAGCACGTACGGTCCCTAATGGTCCAATAGAGTACCTAAATGGGCCAAGATGGCTCTAGAAGGCCCAGAAACTCAAATAAACTGATATGGAGCATGGAACGGCCATTCCCAAATTGGAACAGGCCCTTCCCAATGTTGGAACGGGCCGTTCTGAAATCGGAACAACCCATTCCCCTTTTCAGAAAATTTTGCGTTAGGCATCATTTTGGTTATGATAATATCTCTCACTAAAGACCTAATTTTCACGATTTGATCATTAAAGTTAAAGATAAATGTATTAAGAAGTATCAGAAAAGTTTTAGCATGATCCAACAGTTAATGATTTCTTGAGAGGCCTCGCATTGCAGCTGGAAAATATGAGTTTTATACCAGACAAAGTTTTTGTTATGATATTATCTCTCACCACGAACCTAATTTCAACAATCCAACCATTGTAATTGAAGATCAATATAATTTGAAGATACCATAAAAATACCAGCACGATCGACGGTTAACGAGTTTTCTAGAGGTCTTGTACGGTGCCTAGAAAAAGATTGTATTTTATAAAATTTAGTCCCACATCGGATAACTCTCTTATGTTTCTGCCTCCTAGTTGGTTATATAAGAAACCCTCTTCCCAAGGGATTAGAAAAGAAAAAGTTGCATAGCTTCCCTCCGCCCTCTCTATAAATCTCTGAGTGATAGTGAGGATTTTGTAGAGTGAAGGGCTGCCAAAACGCATCCCACTCGCGTTTGGAAAGATTCCCTTATAAAAGGCTTGCTTCGAATGTTTTAAACTCTTCTCTCTTATTTATTGTTTTTTATGTATTTTATTTATTATTTTGTTTATTATTTTATTTACTATTTCATTTATTATTTTATTTATTATTTTACTTATTTCTTTATTTATTATTTTATTTATTTTATTTATAATTCTTCTATACCAATGAATAATCATGTAGACATCTTAGGGTAAATCGTGTAATTTAAGTTTCATGTATATAAATAACCATTAATAAAGGGGATCTAATATTTAAATTACTAATTCTTATTACGTTAGCTTCGTCATAGGGTACTGATTTAGGACATTGTAGGGGTACTTAATACATTTCCTACGCGTAACCGGCCCCCCAACCCAATTTGGTTATTAAGGCCATTATTGAATTTTCAATTTTTTTTTCTTTTTCCAATGTTTTGAGTAAAACATTGGTGGCGCATCCATGAACTCATTTTTCAAAACTATTATTTGAGGATTAGTCTAGCGTCCGGACATTCCGTGATTAATGAGAATTTTTCAAAAAGGTAGTCCAAACCAATGGTCATAAGATCAAAATTTTTTAGGTTACAACAGATGGCAACTCCACTAGGAAAGTTTAAAGAAGGTCAGGCCCAAATAAATGATAAAGTTAGAAAAATAGGAATAATATTTTAAATATCTTTTCCCCTTTACTTTGTTTGTTTTACTTGCTTTGCTTTGATATCTGTTTGTCTGTTTAAATTTTGCACCTGTTTGAAATAACAACTGTACACAAATCATAGCACACAGTAGTCCCCTCTATATTCGAGGGAATGAGAGCGTAAATATAGGGAGTGATTGACGTACAACCAGCCCAAGAATGGTCTTACAGCTTGCAAGCCTTGTCAAAAATCACACTCAAGGTGATAACCGGTTACTCTAGTCAGAAATACCACGACAAACCTTAGAGTTTGCCAGGTGACGGTGATAGAGGTATTGGCTCCCTATAATGGGAGCACCTTGGGAGCCTTAAAGACCAGTGAGATTAGAACCTTCCTATACAATACACTTTTCTAGACAGGGACCACAGACCAAGGATTTCAACGTGACTATTCACGAGTGTATATTTGTTTGAGCATATATGTGTTGCATTTGTCTTTTTGAAAGATAAATTTATATTTTAGTCACGATTTTGAAATTATATAAAGAAAAAAAAAATCGTGTACCACATGTTAAAGGAAGTATATATAAACACTACAGTGCCACATCAACAACATGCTTACATTTTTGTTAACCTTGTTTTATTAAATTTTGGGCCAGACACATGACGGGGAGGCCCACTTTCATTTTAGGGTTTCTTTTAGGTCTTAGGGCTGACCATGTAGCCACCACCTTGGGCAAACTTGATATGACCACGTTTTTCTTCTTTTTCCTTCACATTTTCTTTGTTTTGGAGCTCATCCATGGGTGTTTTTCTTTGCTTTTTCTCTTCTCTGGT